TCCTGCTACAGTTAGACCAAACCTTCAGTTTTTTTTTAATGAGCTTCTATTTTTAATAGCTACTACAATTAGGGTTCAATAACGACGGCCCTCTTAAACATTCGTCCCAATAACCTTGTGACGTATCTTGATGACCTCTTCTTTAACCAATCAAATTGGGATTTTAATATATTTTATTAAATATTTACCTGTATTTGTGTTCAGTAAAACTAAACAGAGTAAAATTCCTACCATATTTTGGCTGTTCATTTTCTAGCTGTCTGGAAAAAAAAAACACTTAATTAAGAGTATGTTATCTTGCCTGTCAAGCAGAATATTTGAAATAATACAAACTTCGACGAAAATCATAACTAAAGGTACATAACTACTGTTTTCAAGACTACAGACCACATTGTTAAAACTAATCTGTATTAGCAAAATCGGCTTCCACTCTCAATCATTTAACACTCGAAAGGCCTTAAGTGTTTATTTCATTTTTGCAATTGTCAATGTCTAAGAAGTATAAATGACGTCTAAATTACCAACAGTAGCTTAATGAAGACAACTATGAGTACTGTCCTGTAAGTACTGTTTTACTTTACATAGAGTGATCAAATTTGCTTAGTAGAGGCACTTACCCTGCCTAGTGCTACCGACTCTTCCAAACCTTCCGCTGGAAAGAGTCCATCCTACCAAGAGTCGTCCACCCCGCCTAGATTCATCCTATCCGCCTAAACGGTTAAAATCGTCCACGCTGCCAAAGTCACCATGTTACGGTTGTTGTGCCGATGGCTTTTGCAGTGCATTTCATTCTCTTGTTTGGGCCTTACGTCCATGTTTACGTTTAGCGATACACTTCCGGTTTCGCACTTAGAATAGAAAATTGGGTCATTTTTACTATTTGTATTTTATGGACAAAATCTACCTTTTAACTCCACGTTAATCTACTGACATGGGCGCTGCCATATTGTTTCGATGACGTAATAGGTCATAAAATATAGGAGGATTTCAGCTGACGTCACATCCGGGAGTTTCCCCTTCTAAAAATAGGCTGGCCGTTAAGCGTCAATGACACGTGTGCTGTAACCGAGACAGAAAAAACTAATAAATCTGAAGTTTCATCTATTCTAGGATCATATGATTAATTAAAATTAATGGTGAATTTAATCTGTGTAGGAAAGAGCATGCTCGCCGATTTCGACGTAGGTAAGTAGCCTAGGCCTAGAGTTAGACCTAGATTTGGCTGAAGATTAATTAGATAACAATTTTTTTTATATTTCATCTGGTACCAATCCTGAAAGTAACCTAAACACAAATCTAAATCATTTTACAACGTATTTTGTCCGATTTTTAACGAAAGAAAACAAATTATTCGTCGAGTAGCTTGACTGCAAATTCAAAGGGAATCGATTGGAATATCCAGACGTTTATTGTCATTGACACGCTATAGACACTTACGTCATGTTGATCGAGCATACATCACACAGATTATGTAAACGCGCCAGATTTGAGTGAAACCGTGGCCTATTTTTCTGCGAGAATTGGCTGAATGGCGTTACAAAAAAGAAAGAATGATTATATCGTTATATTGTGTTTTTTTTTTTTTCAGTCATAATATTTGACAGGCCGATTGATGAAAATGGAATGAAGGAATGAGAATGTCGAAAATGTCAACTTCAAACTGCCGTTTCTCGAAAACAATCATTTAAAAATATCGATAAAAAGCTGGTTCAATTCTGCGTTTAGCTATGTACAATATGTTTTTGGGAGTAAATTTTATACATTCGGAAAGGAAAAATAAAGAAGTGGAGATTGTCCTGAAACTGTCAAACTACCCTAGTCGATCGAAACCGTTAAGCCTAAAATACAGGCATCAAGTAGCTACTAGGCATAACAATGACAAGAACGGCAGTGGCTATTTACCACTGGCGTGGTAAGCGTGGTAAATAGCCATAAGTACCTTAACAGCTATTTACCACGGCGTGGTAAATAAAATTAGTCATGATTTGATATTCTTTTCGGAAAAAATTGCTTAAAATAACCTATATTTCTAAAATAACGATTTTGCAATCAAATATTCATCCCTTTTTGAAAAATAAATGTCGTGTTTGTTTACAAATAAATGTCAAGGCCGATTGTGAAGAGCTCATGGTTCAAGGCTGAATACTTCTAAATTCAAACCTATCTAAAAAATTCCGCGTTGTATGAAATTTGGTGTACATTCATTTATTCTTTCGGCAATAGATTTTAATTACAAATTAGTCAAAATTTACTTAAACCTTGTTAATGAATTGGAAAGCAGGCTTATTCCAAGTATATCTATTCAAAATCATTTGAGGACTAAACTTCCCCAAACGATCGTAAGGGTATTTTGTTTCAGAATAAGTTTTGAAAATAAATTCCTACATTTTATGCAATGTGTCTCCTAATATTACTACGTTTTTACAAGTAACTACAGTGGCGTATTTAGAGGGTAGTGCCCTCGAAAATAATAGGGTAAAGTTGCCCCCACTCCCGTCATTGAAATCCTGGCTACGCCACTGAGTAAGTAGACCTAATGTATATTTCCACAAAAATTGTAATGTTGTGTCCTATAGATATTAGGGTGATATGAGAATAAAAATCCCTTAAAAGCACAGACCTAGGTCATGAAGTTAAAATTTTTATATTTAGCTAAGTACTGTTAAACGCGTTCGTCCCTATACATTTTCGGTCTTTTTCATGTTTGCCCCTAGTTCGTTCGCCCTGGCTCCACAATATTTTGTGACACAATAATCCATGATCCACAAAATTTGGACAAAATGTTTAAATATGTGTTTAATTGTCAATCTTTGTCACTTATCAATTTAAAAAGGACCCGTCCGCTATCATGTGACTAAAAAACTGACTTGTTAGTCTTTCATTCAAACCTCTTCCAATTTGTCGTCCAGAAACTTGCCTTCACCAACACAATGTTGTTTTTATTTTTCTTAGTGTACAGAAAAACTTCTTTTTTTTTTGCGATCAGGACAAATAATTTTTTGAAAGGGACAGTTACGCCAATTTTTTGACCAATCACACTTAAGTCTCCGAAACGGGATTGATTTAGCTAAGCCAATCGGTAATAGTGTTCACAGGTCACCGTCAAAATTTGAGCCTATACAGAAGATGTCCGCAGTAATGATACAGATATTGACAGTGTTTGATTGTAGTTTGTAGTAGAGGGAACTAGCGGTACAGATATTAATAGTGTTTGACTGTAGTATGCAGTCAAGGTCAGTAATGATACAGATATTGATAGTGTTTGACTGTAGTATGTAGTCAAGGTCAGTAATGATACATATATTGATAGTGTTTGACTGTAGTATGTAGTAGAGGTCAGTAACGGTACAGATATTGATGGTGTTTGCCTGTAGTGTGTAATCAAGGTCAGTAACGGTACAGATATTGATAGTGTTTGACTGTAGTATGTAGTAGAGGTCAGTAACGGTACAGATATTGATAGTGTTTAACTGTAGTATGTAGTAGAGGTCAGTAACGGTACAGATATTGATAGTGTTTAACTGTAGTATGTAGTCAAGGTCAGTAACGGTACAGATATTGATATTGTTTGACTGTAGTATGTAGTCAAGGTCAGTAACGGTACAGATATTGATAGTGTTGAGCGCATTTCGAAAGACAAGAGCAATGCCTCATAACAATCAACACATTTTAAATTTATAATTTTATAGATTTTTCATTCATAATAATCACTTCTATGATACTATAATCAAGTAAGAAGTAAGCTCAGTAGGAAGACTTTGTGGTTTTCCTTGCACCAATAGTTCAAATATAGGAACAGTTGTCTACAAATCCTACGCATATCATCACCCGCATTGAGTCTATTTCTATCTTTAATTTTGATGACTAAAGTTTCGAGGTTCGCTTGGGTTCGTCGTGTTGAAGGGCATCAGAATCCCGAAACTCTATAATTCTTCTCCTACAATAGCCTGGGAACCAGGAATATACAGTATTATAGCATGGAAATTAAAAATTCAATAAAAGTCTGTCAAAAGCATAGCTTGAAAATGCATATATATAAACGAATTGCAGACTAATAGACAGCTGGAAATGTACGCAATACCGAAGTATGATCATAAACACGCATGGTTCACATCACGCAGCGATTGTAGATATTTTTAGACTGAAATTTAGCGTCCAAAATGCCCGAAAACCAAAGTCACCGATATTTAACATGGCGGATATTTTTCTTCGCTAGAGATATTAAAATGCTTATTTTAGTGTGTTAACAATGTGAAATGTTCACAATATTTATATTTTTGAAACCTAAAACGTGTGAATTTTTAATGTAAAAACAAAAATTGGATGAAATCCACCAAATAAAAAAAAACGTGGTAAAATTTAGTTACCACGTTTTGTCTCCATAGACTAACATGGTGACATTGGCCTAATTTAACAGGTTAACACGCCGTGGTATATAGCTGTAGGGGTACTTCTGACTATTAACCGCGCTAACCATGCCAGTGGTAAATAGCCACTGCCGACAAGAACCTTTCAATTGATACATTTATATTATAATCCTAGTTGTTCTAGGCAAACGTCACACGCCAATAGTTCCAAGATAAAAAAATATTATATTTCTGAGGTCTTTTTTTTCCATAGTAATCACTTTGAACATGAAAAAATCATTAGAAAAAAATGACCTGAATCCCCTACTCTAAATACCCCTTAATAATGACAATTTCTACGACGTGGCTGGGGCAGAAAGTAGGTCGACCGACGTCCACGTTGTTAGGAAGCCATAGACCGAAAAGAAAAAGCAACTGATTCATGGAATCAGACTGAATGAGCAAACAAACGCTTTAATGTCCATAGCTTCTTAATTAATACAACTCAATGTTAATTAAACATCACTCATAATTACAAAAAGTTGTCTTCCTTGTCTGGAACTTAATATCTGTCTAATTCGTACACCCAAACAACAAACAATTATATTTCCCATGACATATCGACAGCTCTTACAAAATAACATGCCCCTCCTCCCCTCCCTCCCCTCCCCACATATAGACTTCTACTTCATTTTATCTTTCCTTACAAGATAGCGGTATTTCAAACTAAACAATGCCGACTCATTCACATTTTGCTTCACCGTTGTTTTAATGGATTGGAAGAGTTGTATGATATATCTGTGCAAATCAGAGAGCTAAATATCCGCAATTATGATAAAATGGCCGGTTGTTTCTAATACAGTTAGGCGAACATTTGGTAAATCAAGTTAGTCCAGTAGTACTTATTATTTTGGCCATGGTCAAAGTCTCACATGAAGACAATAATCATGACAGTAATCATGGTAGTAATCAGGACAGTAATCATGGTTGTAACCGTGACAGTAATCATGGCGCTAATGATAGCAGTAATCTTGGCAGTAACCATAGCTGCAATCATGACAGTAATCATTTGCAGTAATCATAACAGTTATTATGACACTAATCATGGTATTAATCATAACAGTATTCATGACAGTAATCATAGCAGTAATCGGAGTGGTAATCATGACAGTAACCATGGGTGTAATCGTGGCAGTAATCGTGGCAGTAATCATGACAGAAACCATGGGAATAATCGTGGCAGTAATCATGGCAGTAATCAAGACAGTTATCATGGCAGTAATCATCACAGTTTTCATGACAGTAATCATAGCAGTAATCGGAGTGGTAATCATGACAGTAACCATGGGTGTAATCGTGCCAGTAATCAAGACAGTTATCATGGCAGTAATCAAGACAGTATTCATGACAGTAATCAAAGCAGTATTCGGAGTGGTAC